AACAAGGACAACAGCCAGGACGTCGTCGACCTCCTGGGCCACCTCCAACTCCTCAACGACAGCGGCCTCAACGTCCTCGGTGGCTCCGCCAATGGCGGTATCGGCAAGCGCTCCGACATCGACAACAGTGAGGATGTCGCCGACGTTCTCGGCCACGCCAAGCTCCTCGACAACGATGGCATCAACGTCCTCGGTGGCTCTGCTAACGGCGGTGCCGCGCACAAGCCCGAGCCCAAGCCCGTCGTCATCAAGGAGAAGGAGCAGCACCACCCCGAGCACCACCCCGAGCCGGACCACGTCTCCATCGTTGGACCTTCTTTCGAGGCTAACCAGATCCAGCAGGTTCGTCAGCAGAACCACCAGTAAGATGGTGCGTCTCGCGACTGTAGGAATATATAGGGGCGGGTAGCCTCCGGTGGAGATGTGAATAGGGCTCTATTTGATCTGTCTTGTTCTTCTAGACTTTTGTGACTTTTATTTGTTTTATGACTGTTCTGTCTGGCCTTTGCGTTGGAAATATCCAAAGGCGATTATATATACAGTTATTTCATACATAATCCAATGGTTAAAACTTTGTTTCGAATCCTTTTCCGAGTAATATTATAATCCTCTTCAACCTTTTCGTATAGTTAGATTCAAGCATAACAGATTTCTCCTTTCCTCCTTTCTCAGACAGGACTGATGAAAGTTTTATGAGCATCATATTTCAGTTTTAACTACATTTCGATCCCCGAAGATTAGACTGCCTGGGCCCACCTTCTCGCATTCCGTAATGCCGTGAGGCCTCTTCAAAACGAATTCACGTCCTCCTCAAGCGGGAAAAGCCACGAGCTCGTTTGTATAGTACACAGATAGGCCAAGTCGATAGCAAAACGCCGGAATGAAAACAAACTTTGGCCTCGTCGTGTTAAAGATCCAAAATTCTCTGGCCAGATGCTACTTCCTTAGTACAGGGCTCGCTTGCACTACATTCCTCTGTAGTTATATTCGAGAAGGGAGTCCAACGGTACGATATCACTGGGGAGTACTGGAAACTGACCAGCACACTCGTGTCCCCGGAGTGAAAAGATTTGCTATCTTGCAATGTCCTCAGGAAAGAAGATGTAGATGCGGCGTGTCGCCTCGAAAGCGGATTCTAATTTGTCCACAAGGAATACGTGCACACGCCTGTACAGGGTTTATGACGATGGACGTCTGTGCTTCGTACTTGTAGCGATGCTAGCAGAGACGGTCTGCCTTGTCGAAGGCCAGTGTGATTATGGAGGGGGGCTTCTGGCTGTGTCCATTCTGGGTGGTCTTTCATATCATCAACACCGGCAGGATCGAAAGAAGCCGTTCGTCAAGACACCAGTTTTAGGGCTCTAGAGTTTTCGGTAAACTCCCTGGGCTTTCCTTGGCTTGTTCTTTTCCGAAATCTTCATGAACTCTGCCGCTCGGTAGGGGGCTGACTTTTTCTCGGGCGTCTTAAGCTCGTCCCCAAGCCTAGACCGCTCTCAAGCATTACGGACATAAACGGCCGTTGCATCGTATCTGGCCGTCACAATGCCCCCCGTGGCAGGAGGGTTGAACACACGATTGAATGGCTGTAGCTCTGAATTCACTATAAGAGGTCCTTCACTTCCTTCGTAGCTGAGTGAGTGGGATAGTTTTAGCGTTAAGTGCTTCGTCGCGCACAAACGGCCCAAACACCCATCATTTCCGACGAGTATATCATCTTTCACCATAGCTATAGGCTTTTTTAGGTCCCCCGCTGTGGGAAAGGGGACTGCTTTATGGCTGTACTTCACATCGACCCATTGCTTTACTCATGCGTTTTTGTATTTCGTGCCACAATCTGGTATGGCCCCGTACAAAAGGTCATGTTTTCGAGATATCCGATGGCGTATTAGCAACAAGTGCTATTTAGAGGATTCAGACTGGCGTCTATCGCGTTGGCAACATCCTCCAGGGTTTTCCAAGCGTCCCTAGATAATCCCTAATGCTGCTGGTCCCATAATTCCTGTGTTTCCCAAATTGAGATTGCGAGAGATCGCAATGTCTCCGCATCTAGCTCGATATCTGTTTCCTTTGGGAAGTTGAGCTGTAGAAGGAAGAGCTTGTCGAACTCGATTATCAGGGGGCCGCCAGATACTGCGACATGGCCGCTTTCCCCTTTCTTTACTTCCACGTGCTGTGTTCTATGGGGCTGTTCATGGCGAAATTCCCATTTATTAATTATCATGGTCGGTGTCTTTCGGTCACTTTTCAGGGTAAAAACAATCCTCACGTCTCCATTTGACTCTCCCAGCCAAAAGCGGACATCATAGTCCAGCTTAGACCGCGTCTCCGACTCTGCTGCTTCAGAATCAGCATCTAAAGGCCCAAGTGCTGTCTCCAGTACAATCATCAGCCACTTCCTAGCTCGACCTGATGGAAACCTCTTCGGAGCCCAAGGATCATCCGCTTGCTTCGCTCCATGACCTTCCATAGCACGTCGCACTTCTCCAGTACATTAACTCCCGACTGAGCCCTCTGTTCATGAGTGCTGTGAGCAATTCATTGCTAAACTGCGAAGCGGAATCTTCATGAAGCACAAGTTTCGGCATTCTGATCAGGAGGAGGTTGTTGATTGCATCGTAGGTAGACCAGGAGATGTATCCCGGGGGGGGGGGGGGGGGCGCATTTCTGTGTAGATGTAGATGTAGATGTAAGCGTCTGGGTCTGAGTCGAAGTCGCGGGTGAAGGTCTCGGGATTGACGTTTGTTAAGAGGGTCCATTCACTTGTTTGGCGGCGCCATTGTCTGTTGAATGTGTCTAGGAAGTGCTGTGGGCCTTTGTAGAGGTGACGCTTTATGGAGGGTAAAAGGTCTCTAAGAAAGCCTGCGCCATTGTCTTTCGGAAGACTATCTGGGTTTGTGTTTAGCGCCATTTTGATGGTTTAGAGCACCTTAAATAGGAGCAAAGTAGATTTAATCTCTACATACTTCTCTACACTGTGAATGTTGCGTCAATCTATCGGCATCATGACCGTATTCTACGTAGTCCATGACAGAACAACAATTGGCTCTCAGATTCCCCTGACTCGCTACGCGAAAGGAATTACTATTATTCTCCACCGCTCTGTTTTAGAGGACGATCGGAACTAACTAGTTGTAAGCACTTTAGTTCTAAGGGTGGGTTCATTGTGTGCTGAGTACTCCTAGTTTACCAAAATGAACACTCTTTTTTTCTGCCTCGGAGGGGCAGTTCATAAGCCCTGAAAAATGACTAGAAATATACAGTAAACTATTTATTATATTCAGGATATTTTCGCCGAGAAATTCGTATCTAATGGTGCCGCGGCGGAAGTGTCAACCTACTTTGACATGTGTACCCCGTACATGTACAGAATGCAGTAAGGCACCACAAAAAGTCACACCAAACAAAGTGACAAAGAATAATATTGTGATACACTGCACTGCAAAGAATTGCAAAACGCCTTGACCCGTAAAAAAAAAAAAGGCTGTGTTGACTGCGCCAGCAAAGAGCCTCACGGCCCACAGCCTCATTGGGCAAACACCGACAATCCTCGTATTGTGCCGTGATCAACAAGGCAGACTGACTTGGCTTAGCGGTTGTGATAGCCACAAACATGAATATAAAGATGGCCTGCCTCCTGCTGTTTGAGATAGACAGAAACCATCCTTCTACAAACAAACTACTACTCTAATAATCCATCACAACTCCACACTCCACACTCCACACTCCACTCCGAGTATACACCATGTCCCCCGACAAGCACAACGACGGTATGAACATCTTCCTCTTCCTCTTCCTATTCAAACGACACAAGCTGATCAAACTAGTCCCCGCTCCCGCCTACCGCGAGACCGAAATGCCCCAGGCAATGTCTTCAACCCCCATAATCATCGAGCCGGACCACGCATACGTCCAGCCCCAGCAGGACCAAACACACATCCAACCGGACCACGCCTACGCCCAACCGGCCCAACCAGACCACGCATACCCCCAGCCAACACAAACCCCCATCCATACACAAACCCCCATCCACACACAACAACTACCACCCCAACAACCCGTCAACTCCCAATACCCAACAGCCACACCCCTCCACGCGCTCCAAAAATCGCCCGCGCCGGTTGACTGCCCGGCATGCGGCCAGCGCGAGATGACACAGGTTATCATGGAGTCGGGAAATACGACACATGCTTGGGCGGCGATTGTGTGCATCTGTTGTTGTCTGGGGTGTCTGCCGTACTTGGCGTCGTCGCTTAAGGACGCGAACCATCATTGTGCCAAGTGTGGGGTGTTGTTGGCGACGTGGCATAACAGTGGGAATGTTGAGGTTGTGCATGGTAGGCAGCGCCAGGCGCAGGCGAAGAAGGAGAAGAAGGAAAAGAAGTGATCGAGCTGCTTCTGAGTTTTCGTGGATTAGTTTTGTTTATTTTGTTTCGATTGGTGATACCATATTGTATTGTTTTTGGAGTTGGATATCGGTTTTGGATATCATAATAATACATTGCATTCGTGAGCATCAGTCTGTTCTTCGATAGATCTGTAGTTGTGAGTATCCTTATCCATACTCGGTTCTTTAGCTCGTACGCGACCGATGCCGAGCCTGAATGCCTTGTTCGCGATGTTCGTTGTTGACAGATGGGACGCGACTCGATTTCGGTGGCATTTCTTACCCCTTTCCCGATCGGGATAGTGTCCGCAGTTGGCCAACCAGAGCAAATTCTCGGGATAACTTGATCTATATAACTGAGACAAATGCTAACTGTGACATGCTATGGTATTGGACATTGGTAGATTATGGATGTTCGATTACTCACTAAACACATTACTGTTTTCGGAATCGATGGGGATACATCCAGCATCTTCCCGGTTGACGACGGACTACGATGTAAATTGGCTCTCGGCATATTCTCACAAAAACCCCCGGTGTCAGTATTCGTGCTGCTTCCTTGACATCCCGGCCATAGTAGGGAATCGTGGTTATGACCTCCGGAGAACCCGAATCCAACATCATCTTGGTCCTGACGTCAAGACTTCACTTGCTATGGGGTGTAAGAATGCGTTGGGATTTGACAGGAAATTATGGATACAATTGAGAGGAACAGCTAGTGCCTTTGTACAATTGGACAAGTTGAATATTCAATTCTAAGATATCGAAATAGTACGCCAGACGGTGCACCAGCTCATTCGATATCGAACAAGCATTCGACCATGGATGTTACCCAGTGGTGACGCACCGGTCCGCTTCAGGAGATACCGTTAGGTTCTCTGGGTCATAGCTTTGTAGCTTTAGCTACTGGATGCGTTGTAAATGCGTCAAGATCATATGTCTGGGCTATGTTGATTGTACGAAAGTATGCCGATTATATCGGAATCACTGCTATACCAATGGCGGCCGTGGTAAAGTAATTGGTTTTAAACGCAATACTAGCTAACTATCTTCAAAAGTACACTCTATGGCATTGCTCAGGAACTGTATCACGTTGCAGCCGATCTCCTCGACGTCATCCATCCCAGCCCGATTGCGCTGCTCTGCAGTCACTCACTTTCCGCGGCTCCCGAAGGCTTCATAGTCATCCATCTGTCTCTGTCTGTGTCTGCTTGTGCTTGTGCATGCGTCTGCCCGTGTCCCAATTGCTGTCCAATTGTGCATCAGTCCTTCTTCCTATTCTCTACATTCACCGGTCTGTCTGGATAGCGAGGTTAGTGAAGTCCGTGAGGTTGACAGAGACAATATATCAAAGTAAGTTATCCTCGCAATTGAGAATGTGTTTGAACACCAGCAAACGAAATAGATGCCTGCCCTCCCAATCGAAGACATCTCCGCATCCTCCGAAATCCTCCACAGCGTCGTCAAGCGCGGCAATTGGGCCAGCAAAAACCCCGGTCCCATCCTGGTCTTCTGTATCGTATTCATCGTCGGCATGGGTATCGCGCTTCTCGTTGTTTATCGATTCATAATGGCTAAAAAGGCGGCCAGGCAGGCGTATGAGGTGGAGTAATTGCGTGCCGGTATTGAAAAGGGATTGATATGATTACGAGCGTTTTGGAAAAGGAGTTAATATAGTATGGGATGTTTATTTTACCTTAATGTGTTATTGTTTTGCGTCGTTTGGACGGCTTACGAGGACGAATGCAATACCCACTCCTGTTCTTTGGTTTCGGACAGCAGGGAGTGTGATGACGATGTTGGCTGAAGCTCTATCGAGTTAATTCATATATAATAACACTGGGGACATCAATTGGCGCACTGGGACTTCTATTTTGACAATTCGAGCATAATCTTGTGGGTATTGATGCACATTATTCCATTCATAGTCCGATTTCCTTTTTCGGAATAGTAGCCTAAGGCATGTTTTCCCGTATCCGGAAAACAGTCATATGTCATCCTAACCCCAGCCAATCAAAACCCATCGCGTGCTTCATAATGATACAGCAGCTTATCAACCATCCCTGAACAATACTTAACCTACCCTGTATGTGCAGCTCCATTATACCTCCATAAAACAGTAAACATGATCGTCCTCCTAACCTCCCTCCTAACCTTCGTCCTCGCAACACTCTACTTCACCCACCGCTCCCTCCGCTCAACCCTCCACGCCCACCATGAACGCCTTCTCCCTCCCTCAACCCCAACTCGCATAACATCCCTCCCAGCAGACCTGACTGCGCACCCCGAGAACTACAGCATTTTCTACGACCAAGCCTCACGACCGGTACCTAGGAGACTCCTCCCGGACATCCCGCTCCCGGAATTACTAACCGCCCTTCTCCGGCGGAACATGGCAGCGTTCTCGCATTTCCCACAGGCGTGGCTGTTACGGTTGAATTGTCCCACGGAGAGGGGTAGTTTCTGCAGTAGTTATCTCCAGAAACTAGAATTCGCGCAGGGGGAGTGCGTTTGTGGTATTTACCGGGTTGCCGCACGGAAGGAGGATCGTGTTGAATTGGAGATGAGTCGTGGGAATGCGGTGGGGCGGTTGGTTATTGGGTATGTTGTTGATAAGAGGCGGGAGACGGTGACGTTTTTGAATGAGACGGTTATGTGGTGTAGCAAGGATGAGGGGACGGGGAAGCTTCCGTTGGAGAATCGGGTGGTGCGGTTCTTTCATGAGATGACGGCTTGGTGGTTGATGGATTCGGGGGTTTGTTATCTTATGGATATGGATGGAAGTGAGGGGGATGAAAGGGTTGCTTTTGGAAAGAATGGCGAGTGATTTTTTGTCCTTGGGGGTTCATTGTTCACACACGGGATGTACCGTGATTGCTTTGATGCCGCTGGGAGTGACAAGGTCACGAATGAGACAAGGATGGATTGATTATACAAGGAGTATTCCGCTTATTTTCTTTGTCGGTACAAGAACATTGTCTCTTTCAGTTCTGCTAGTGCGGTTCTTTCATCTTCAGATAGATCATGTCTCACCATGTCTGAACGTAGAGTATATATAAAGTCGCTTCCAGCACACATTTCTCTATCTTCAGTCTCTTGCTCAACTCTCCTAAGGAAGAATTCTGTATATATATAAAATTTCGAGACTCAAAATGTGCAACTACACCTACCACCATGACCCTACCTGCGGTCACATAACCTCCTTCAACATCGACACCTGCACCCCATTCACCTCGTCCCTGCGCATGGCAGAGTCAGACTCAGACCAGCAGCCTGCCTCCTGCACCAAGACAGTCCACAGTCACGACCTTGTCAGTCCAACCAGTCCCTCTCTCTGCTTTCAATGCGAGCAGGAGTGGATGGAGCGTGCGAAGAAGAGGGTTAAGGCTATGGCACTGGGAGAAACGCTTCTGGATAAATACGACGAAGAGCAGCCGGTCTTCGTCCAGCTAGAAGGACTGGATTGTCCTCCGAAGGTGGGAATGACTTTTACATTTTCCGCCCCGAAGGGAAAAGAGAAGAAGCTAATCGGTTTGGGTATTGCCATGGATGGTGGTGTACAGAGTGATGACGATGCTGAGACCGATATTTTCATCGATGCCGGAGTCGATTATTTCATCAGTGGGGATGAGAGTGACTACGAAGATGCCTATGAACATGACACTGACGAAGACGGTGAGTCTTGTTCAACAAACTCTCCCTTCGCGAGCCAGAACTCTAGTTTTTTTGAACAGAGACAGTACTTTGATTTCGACTTCGATTACGAAAACTCCCCTATTCCCGAGGAATACGTCCATATCAGCGCCGTCGACGACGAAAGCAGCGGTGACGACGACATCGAACTCGTCTACCTCGACTACCCCAACGCCACTCCAGACCATGGGAAACTCCTGCATGACCTCGATTCCAGCTCCGACAGTTTTGAAAATGTGGAATACTTCGATCTATGCCCTGCATCCAGCCACCCGGAAACATCTTTCCTGGACCCCGGGGACGAAGAGAACATGCAGCTGGTATCAGGTACTCCGCGTAGTCCGCGGACGAAGGAATTTAAAGAGATTGAGGAGAGTGTTGATAATGTGGCTCCGTCGGTTACAGGGCTTTTGGGCAGGGTTTATAATGGGTTCCCGGAGATTCTTCCGAGGGTTACTGTGATGGGGAGGTAAGTTTGTTTTATATTATATAGGGCATGTATGGTGCTTACTTGGGTAGGATTAATAGGGTTTTTGGACGGTGAATTATGGTATATATAGACTGGAATTGCTTGGTTTGGCTTGAATGGATTTGGTTTGCTGTTTTATGTGCTGATGTTTGAACGTTTTTGTTGTCGGAATGCAAGGCTTTTACAGTCTAGTTACATAGAAGATGATTTATTGCCGCTATTATATAGACCACATATGTTTGCCGCATATATCTTGATCGTTTAAGAAATAGAAAAATCACACCATGAAGACTCGCAAAACCTCGAATACTATAAAGATAGCGTATAACACTTCCAGGAGATCTGAAGGCACATGGGCCGTACAGACCCTACTCCGACTCTGAGACAGAGTAATAAAATCCTCCCTCAAATGATAGCCGAGTCTCAATGTCCCTGACAATATCCGAGAGCGACTAGATCACGCCAGCCGACAGCTTTAAAGTCCAGGTGTTGCTTGAGGTGTGTCATTCTTGCAGCAGTCACACTTAACTGTGACCAAGGAGAAATCACGTCAAGAAACACATAACAGTAAACTACTTGCCATAAAAATATATGCTTTGTCGGATCACTGCCACTATCCTCTCATAGTTGCTGTACGGTCGTTCTTCTCTAGGTCCCGCTATTGGCATATACCACGAAAGCGCCGAGCACCGGCAGCGACACTTGTTGTCACTGTCACCATCTCAGGTGCTGCTTTGTGGTATTCTCTATGAATGCGCTTACACGCTGCGCTAGCATCCGGTGGGCATCTTTATCCATCATTCGAATGCCGTCTTTGCACCTAGTTCGACATTCTGTGACAGATATCAGCAGATGGAAGCAAGGTTCAGGGAGCAAAAAAAAAAAAAAAAAAAAAAAAAAAAGGATTTTCCAAGAATCCTAAAAAAAAAAAAAAAAAAAAAGCGAGGAGTATACAGTCGAAATGGGTAACTCGCTTGTAGCCAGTTCTTCGGTTCGATTCTTTTCGGGCGGCACGGCGGCATAAATGTCAGCATAGTACTCAGCCAAGTTCGTAGCAATCAATACATACCAAGTTTATCAGCCAGAATTCATCACCTATTCTCGATGAAATGTCCAACCCGGTTTCATCTCTCAGTGGGGGTTATGATTTCTTCATCCCAGCAACGAGATATGATGGTGTGATCCGCTTTCCCTAGTAAACCTAAGCTCCTTCTTGACAAACAGCGAGACAGCGGACACAGCAGCGTCCCTGTTGGTGAGGTAAGAGAATAGTTGGAGCATGGATAGCGATAAAAGCAGGTCCTGCCTAACCAGGGGCCCATGAAGCGTACGAAGGATCACACACGCGACGCAGACGCGCGGAATAGAAATGCTGGAACGTAGGAAAAATTGGAGAGCCATTTGTAAGGAAGATGGACGACATGGCGTGTAAGAAACGATATTTTGATGGACCAACCATGGAAACATATAACATAGTAGTCGGTACTTGAGCATGAAATCCTGGATGTCAGCAAGCTTGACTCATATCCGTTGAAATGGTCTTACTGCGTACAGGACGGCAAAAGGCGCCTCATGCCCTAACACTCGACCACAGAGTATACGCATATTCGTTCGTACATGGTCAAGAAGAGAGACCATCCATCTGGCCCGCCTCTTGTTTTTCTGGATGCTTGCTTATTCTCTTGGCCTCGGCGAACGCCGTTCTATTGCGGTGTCGGAAGCATGATCGTTGACGCAATTCATATGGTTCTTTGAATGGATACTGGTTTGTTATTCAGGGTGGCATCACGTTGAAAAAATGACTATATGTGCCGGCCTCATGTAGAATTTCTTGCCGACAGGTCCTGTATTCATTATTTAGTATGCACATCAAATCTCAAGGAATCATCCTTGATAACTCACCATGATAGTGTCACGTCCAAATGCCTTTCTTGAACAACGAAGAAGACGCGGTTATCAGCTCCTCGTAATACAGAGCAAGTTATACCAATTATGACCTCGATGCACAATCTTCAATGTTGTGTTATACTGGAGACAACAAATACGGCTCTTTTGATATCTTGAGATATATCTCTTTTGCGTCAATTATCAGTCACCCAACTAACAAATAGTTAATATAATTCATCCAATAGAAGGGATGTTAGGGCTTACTGGTCATTATAAATGGGTGGATATCTTTTTTTCGACCAATTCCTGGGAGAAATTCGCAGCTTTATGCTGATTCTCAGATAGAACTCACTCAATTATATTGAGAGGACATCTGACTGATATACAAGAATTTGCCTGCCAGAGATAAATTGCTTTGCAGGTTTTCTGTCTCGAAGACGCAAAGGCTGGTTAATGCTGTCCATTGACACAAATCCCCGGTCGTCGAGACGAGTGAGGTTCCACACCGTGGATTCCTGTATGCTGCGTCAATATAAAACTTGCCCGCTCGTTCAAAGTTTGGATTTCGATCATGAGAGAGGTTCTCGTACAGCAAGAACACGACTAGGACTTCAAGCTCGTTTCAGTATGTTCACTCAAACCCGGGGTGCATTTTGTAGTCCTTGAACAGAACATACATGATAGAGTGGACGGTTCTACTCAAAGAAAGCCATGTTGTCGATGTGTGCGAGGTGATTCACTAGCCCATAGAGAGTTAATCCCGAGCGATGAATTTAAAGAAAAGGATACGTACCAGGCTGGTATGCTTTTGGTCCTTTTTTCCCAGAGACAATAAGCATACAGGTTGAGATATTCCGGATTTATTAGCCATGTAGCCAATGTCATTCCAAATTCGACTGATATGTCAGCTTGCCCTGCAATAACTCGAGACGAGCATCAGTGTCACTCACCGGACCATGTTCATAACAACCAATCGATATATATTCCATAGCATACGTGAAGCTCTATCTCACTTCAGTACGAAGCAACCAGTCCATCATGATCCTTGCGAGTCGCGGGGCGAAAACACCCCAGGTAATCCCTTGATATCTCGTTTCTCTGATGGCAGAAACCACAGGCCAAAGGGGTCGCGTTTTTTGTGTCCCAACTTTCAGCAGTTTTAAAGCAGCAATAGGGCGTATAGTATATAGCATGAATGGCACGAGCGACAAACTGAATGCCCATGCACTGGGCCCTTTTTGGGTCTTGCGACGTGGAGATTGGTGATCGCATATTTGTGTGCCTTCCATCCTGCGACCAGGTAACATAACCTCCCAGTGTGCCCGCGTTTCTTTCGCGTTTATCTCCAAAGACTATCCATTGCCATGAATGTAGGAAGCAGTACCCCACACATGGTCTGTCGCTTCGGGCGAGAGTAAACAAGCCTCTGAGAGTCGGTTAAACCGAATACCCGTAATCGAGAAAAGAGACATACCTTTCATAGACTCCCTTCTTGCCAGTGTTATCCGGCACTTGTCGACTCCGTCATCCAGCATTTGAGGCATATATAGGTACCGCTACACAACAGTTGGACGACCCAGCAGGCAGCTTTTACTCATTCGATCATGGGCCAACCACTCAGGCCGAGCGGTCTAGAATCTTCCTCTGCTGCTTAAGCAGCGTGTTGATGTCCTTCATAAGAGTAGACCCATCCATATAGCAACAGTAGCGCCAACAACATCGAGTCAGTGGTAAACGACGATATATAGCGGCCATCTCTTCATCGTCTAGGCACTTTTTCTGGACCATTCTTCCGGCAAAAAATGCGTCATAGGTTGCCTTTTCAATCATCTTCATCAGATGTCAGCTTAGCCGGCAGGAACTGGGAAGAGACATCGGCAACTCACCACATAGTGTATCACTATCGGTATGGTTGTACAGTACGGCAAACATAAGGCATTAGAGTCTCTAACGCATCACAGAATGGAGATGTGGGGCCGCGAGAGCTTCACATCAGGGATAAAAAGCAACATATACTGTGTGTCCGTGGTTTTTGGAAAGGCAAGGGACAGGCAATCTATGAGAGTCAGTTAGTCCCACTGAAATACTAGAAGCAAAATAGAACCATACTTGTCTTTTTTCCTGCCAGAAATATGAAAAGAATTGCAATCAACGCGAAACCATGCGTATAGGATGTGAGGTTCTGGTTGGCAATTGTGGACGATAGCAGCAGAGTTGCAAAAAGACCAGAACGCCAGGACAGTAACAGGAAGCCAGATATCTTCTCCTTGGTAGAAACCGCTACTTTGGTGCAAGGTTCTGCGTAGTCAATGGGTCATCGACTAATCCACGGCCTGCTCGCCATCACCTGTGCGTATGCAGGAACCCCTTTGTCCACGGATGCCCAAATACTAGTACCATTTGCGGCCCGTGCAGCCAGTTCAAGATGGAAAAGGCATCCTCGACGAACTAATCTTGCTTAGTTGTTGCCATGCCACAGAGCTGAGTATTAAGGGATCAGCGAGCACTCACCGGAGCTGTATGAACAGTGATCGAAGTAATATGCTATCGTCTCGATGAGATTTGGCGTCGCGTAGCACGACTGCTAATCCCGTAAACAGAAACACTTTCGCGGGGGGCTTGTCAACCTGGCACATCTTCCCAGTTTATCGTGTTCAGGGCTCTCAGAATCTGCAAATGTCAGCTTTCTTAGTCGCGAATAAATGAAGCAGACATGTAGATGTACAAACGCTGGAGCTTGTTACCTATGGGTCAACGACCCGTTCGATTTGGAGGGTGCATTCAATGATTCCTCTGGGTCTTCCGCTAAAGATTTTATCGAAAGTCGATGAGTTCCGTGTAAGATGAGCCGGCGCTCGAGAAAATGTGTTTTAGAAATCCTTCTTGATCATTGCAGTGTAGTATATAAGGCAGTATATAAGACTTGGTAGTATATAGAGACGACGGCGACGGCGACAGAGATGAAGAAAATGATGATGATGACAATCAGAATGATAAAGTTGAAGAAGACAGACAATTGAAAGAGTCCTACTATGAGCCATTTCTTTCTCTGCTCAAAGAGTGAATGCTATTACAGAGTATACTCCACAAGTATCTAACATCCCGCATCTATACATTCGGAACCCTACCGAACCCACTCGGACATCTCTGCGACCCGGCAATTTGCATACTCCCCATAAATACCCCGACTTATTCATATCCAACAAACGAAAAGAAAACACCCCCCCCC